AAAACACAAAAAACAAAAAACAAAAGCATTTAATTGAAAGAGAAAAGTTTCTCTGTCAATTTTTTTTCTTTTTTCTTTCTTTTCTTTTTTTCTTTTTTTTTTTTCTTTTTGTCTTGTGATGGAGTCTTGTTCTGTTGCCCAGGCTGGAGTGCAGTGGCGCAATCTTGGCTTACTGCAACCTCTCCCTCCCAGGTTCAAGCAGTTCTCTGTCTCGGCCTCCCGAGTAGCTAGGACTACAGGCACACGCCAGCACTTCCTGCTAATTTTTGTATTTTTAGTAGAGACGAGGTTTCACCATGTTGGCCAGGAAGGTCTCGATCTCTTGACCTTGTGATGCGCCCCCCTCGGCCTTCCAAAGTGCTGGGATTATAGACGTGCACCACCGCGCCCGGCCTCTTTTTCTTTTTTGAGACAGAGTCTCGCTCTGTAGTCCAGGCTGGAATGAAGTGGCACGTCTCGGCTCACTGCAACCTCCGCCTCCCGAGTTCAAGTGATTCTCCAGCCTTAGCCTCCCCAGTAGCTGGGATTACAGGTGCCGGCCACCACGCCCAGCTAATCTTTGTATTTTTTAGTAGAGACGGGGTTTCGCCTTGTTGGCCAGGCTGGTCTTAAACTCCTGACCTCAGGTGATCCGCCCACCTCGGCCTCCCAGATTGCTGGGATTACAGGTGTGAGTCACTGTGCCCAACCAACACACACACACACATATGTATGTGTGGTGTGTGTGTGTGTATATATATATAATTTACATATATTGCTGGGTTGCCCATGCTGGTCTCAAACTCCTGAGCTCAAGCGACCTGCCCGCCTCGGCCTCTCGGATGCTGAGGTTACAAGCGTGAGCCACCGCGCCCCGCCCTACCTCATCTTCTTAAGACAGGGTCACGGATTGCCCTGGAGGGTTAGAAACTTGGAGACTTTTGTAGCATCAGTAAAGGCCGCGGCCAGCCTCTTCGCGGCATGGGCGTGGCTCGCAGCGACTTCCCAGCCTGGGGTTCCGCCTCGGCTCGCAGACACTGTGTGCCCGCCAGTAGTGGTAGGTTTCCAACAGCTATTGCTGGCTCTTCCTCTTGCGGCCTTTTCTTGAAACAGATTCTTCTTTCCGGGAACAGAAAGCGCCAGCCATGCAGCCTCGGCAAGGAAAGGCCACGCGGAGAGCTTCCGAGGCCGGAGCCACTGTCCCCGAGGCTTCCGCGC